TTAAAATACATTTTTAAAAATAACTAATTAGAAATAAATACAATGTTCATGGATTGAACTCAGATCATCAAAATTTCAACAGTGTTTTCCTTATGAAGCGTAAGTCCATTCCAGAATTTATGTGGAAGGCCCAAGAGTTGCCAAGACAATCTTGAATAACAAGGTAGAAGGACCTGCCTTGTGAAATATAAAGAATGTTAAAACTTGCCAAGGGAGGTCGTCTATGCCTGTAGTCCCAGCTACCTGGAAAGCTTAGGCAGAAGGATTGAGAATGAGGGCCCAGTCTGGCAAAACATCAAGATCTCCTCTCCAAAATAAAACAAAAATAAAATAAAATGTAAATTCTCTCTCTCTCTCTCTCTCTCTCTATATATATATATATATACATGTATATATATATATATAGTAAGCAGGATTTATTGAGAGGACAGAGAAACTCCTGAAGGGGTTGCCCCAACTATGTATTTTTTAAACTCTGATAAGTAAGCTAAAATATTTAATTAACTAAAGAACTTTTTGCAAGAATAAAAAAATAGAATAATGAAGCATACTAAAAAGCCCCAAAAGAGAGCCATAAAGGTATGGATATATCATTTATGATGGAGTTAAATATTTGCTTTTCAACATAAATGCAAATCTACACCTCTTTAGACTCCAACTTCAGACTATATACAAAAGATAATACCTGATGAATTAGAGATTTAATGAAAAAAAAAATCCAAGCTATTAAACTTTTGAAAACATAGAAGAGCTTCAGTGACCTCAGTGTAGGGAAAGAGTGCTCAGATAAAACTAAGAAAGCGCAAACCCTACAGGAAAAGACCACAAATTGTCTATATTAAAATGTAAAACTTCTGTTCATCCATGGATTCAAAAATACAAAAGACAAACCACAGACCAAAAGAAGAAATTGTCAATACTTAGAACTGCTAAATACTTTTCAGAATATACAGGGTATTCTACTAATTACACAAAAAATAAAAAGTAAATAAAATAACTAAAATAGGCACAACAGAAATAAATTAGACAAAAATTTTGCACTGAAGAGAATGCCAAATGACTTAGAAACGAATGAAAAGATGCTTAAATCCATTACTAATTAGGAAAATGCAATTTCAAGTGACAATCACATCCCATTTCACACTTATTTCATATTTAATAATATCAAATGTTAGCAAGAAAGTAGAATAACTGGAGCTCTCATCATGTCTAGTGGGAAAGTCAACTGGAGCAGTCACTTTGAAGAGCCACTTTGTGTTATCTAACAAAGCTGTAGACCCACAGAATCTAGGAGTAGCCATCCCACCCACTCTCCCACGTGTCTAAAAGAGATTTTTGCATCTACACACTAAAAGACACGTACAAGAATGTTCATAGATGCACTGTTTGTAGTGCAAAAACCTGGAGCCCTAAAAGCCCTGACTACACTATGCAATCTATGCATTTAACAAAATTACATTTGTACTCCATAAATGTATACAAAAAGAAGACCTGGAATCAACCCAAAGTCTAACAGTGGAATGGACAAATAAAGCATGGTGTATGAAAACACCAGGGGAATCAAACAAATTACCTCTATCAGGGTTGCCAAAAGCATGTCTACATATTTTAAGAGATGTTATCTGTGTATTACTTGTAGTTAAATTGAGTTATGGTAGTAATGTGTAGTATGACGTTCGCTCAAAAGATGACATTCATCAAATGAATACTAGCATCACCATGTGACAGGCAGGACAATCAAAGCAAATGGCAGAAGCGTGATTGTTATTCAAGTTGCACAAGACCATTTTGAAGTATTTGAAATTCAAGAATATGAATAAAACAAACCACAACAGATGCTGGCGAGGATGCAGAGAAAAAGGAATGCTTCTACACTGCTGGTGGGAATGTAAACTACTGCAACCTCTTTGGAAAACAGTGTGGTGATTTCTAAAAGAACTAGACTTTGACCTTCCTCATGACTCAGCAATCCCCCTCCTAGGAATATACCTGTAGGAATTCAAATCATTCTATAAAAAAGATACCTGCACACACATGTTTCTTGCAGCACTATTCACAATAGCAAAAACATGGAATCAACCATGCTGCCCATCAAAACTGGACTGGATTTTTTAAAAAATGCGGCACATATACACAATGGAATATTATGCAGCCATAAAGAAGTATAAACATATGGACTTTGCAGCAACTTGGATGGATTTCGAGTCCATCATATACCTCTCCCAGTGGTTGATGGTGGAGGCTTTGTCGAAGATGAGTTGGCTGAAATTGAGGTTCAGAAAAAGGTTTTAAATTAGAAAAAGAAGTTGGATGCAGTGGCACATAACTATAATTCCGGCACTTTGGGAGGGAGAGGTTAGACCAGCCTGGGCAATTTGTTGAGACCTCATTTTAAGTCAAAAAATTAGCTGGGCACTGTGGAGCATGCTATAGTCCCAGCTACTTGGAAGGCTGAGGTGGAAAGATCACCTGAGGCCAGCCGGTCATGGCTGCAGTAGCTATGAATGTACCACTGCATTCCAACCTGGGTGACAGAGTAAGACTTTGACTCAAAAAAATAAAATAAATTAGAAAAAAGATAAAAATCTGAAACCCTCACAACAACTGGCCAGATTAAAAAGAACAGCCGCTGCCCTCCATAGCCAGCATCTCCACACCTCAGTCACATTCAGGCCTTCAGTGCTACTTGCTCTACGTAACTGTGCAGGGTGTGTTGTTTTACTTACAGCTTTCTCGTAGGTCACTCATTGACATCCCCTCTTGGGGGCACCTGGACTTTATGACCCTCACACTAGAGCAGTGCTTCTCAAAGTGTAGCTCCTGAACAAGCAGCATCAGGATTCTGTGGGAACTTAGTCACAAATCCAGTTGTTGGGGCCCCACCCTAGACCTACTAATCAGAAACTTTGAGGATGGGCCCAGCTTGCTGTGTTGTCACAAGCCCTCCAGGTGATTCTGATGCTCACATTTGAGCATCCATCTCCTTGAGGCATGGCCCCAGTGGGCCTCCTTTCCTGGCCCTTTCTTCCTTTCTGTATCTCTCCAGTGAGGTTCTTCATTTTTCTCCTCTGGGAGGGTTGTACTTTCTCCTAATAGAAGCCATGTTCATCTCCAACAGCCAACAGGACCCTTAATTGCTAACTCCATCAGAAGGAAACCCCCTTCCATTTTTCCTTGCACCATGCCATCTAAACAATTGTGTTATGATTGTTAGTCTGTGGTCAGAAATCTGCAGACTCCGCTTCAGGGATGCTTTGCTCTCTGCAGTTCCCACAGGGCTCTTGTAGGAGCTTTTTTCTCAGTGGAAAGATGAGCGTGTGAACAAATTGCATCGAGTCTGCCTGAACATCAGACATTGAGATGGGCTGTGAAGCAGAAAGCCAGCTCCCTTTCTGTCTCTGCTTCTAGGAAATTGTTTTCCCCACCTGCATCTTGTGAGAAGAGGTAGAGAAAATGGAGATTTTTGCCACACATAAAGGGGTGAGGTCAGAAAGGAAACAATTTTTTAAACAGAAGTTCAATCCAATCCTTTCATAAGTACTATAGGCCTGTTGCTTCTCTTGATGATGCTAGTTGAGTCATTGCAGGGGGGAAAAAAAAATCAAAGAAGCAGACAGTCACCTAAAGTGGTCCCAGAACCCAGACGGAGAAGTGTGGATGAGTCCTCTCTTGGCGCCTGTGTGGTGTCACTGAGGGGTGGCTCAGTGGTAGATTCCGCTGGTCAGATCGCTCTTCTTGCCACCTACTGAGGCCCAAGAGGGTTTGCCCTACCCAGAGGGAGTGGTGAAAACAGTACAGGGAGTCAGCAGTGGCCAGAGAGGGCAATGTTCTTTTTTCCTAACATGTTCAAGGTGTCTGAAAAGTTAGAAGTGAAGAATGAAAATGCAGGAAATTGGTCTGGATCAGAGTGGTTTGAGAGTCATTGCTGATGTCTTTTCTTTCTAAGTTGGGATATGTTCTTTGTAACAGAGAAGAGAATCTTCATACATTGCTATCTAGGCAAATCTAGAATATTCAGGGAATGGTTGAGTGTTAATGTTTTCCTCATTAACTGAATTAGGCAAAACTTCCTAAGTATTATCCTCTGTTTTGCCATCATAATTTTCAGAGTGTGGCTGCCTGTCCTCTTGATTTATTTCTTACATTACATACCATAAAATTCACTCCTTTGGGAGTTTTCACATATACATAGAGACATGTAACCACCACTGCAATCAAGATGGCTTCAGTCCCATCACCCCAAACATCCCCTCCTTAGGCTGTCCCTTTGTAGTCAAACCACTCCCCGTCCCAGCCTCTGACAACCACGCTTCCTCCTGGGTCTTCTTCAGACAACTAGACTGAAGCATAAGGCCCGAAACTTCTTTATGATTCACTGGTTTAATAACAATAGAAAGAGGAGTAATAGTAATATTTAATGCATATTTGCAATTCCAATGTGTCAGGTATTGTTTGAAGCACATTATAATAAAGAATGAGGAAACAGAGGCTTTAAGAAATTTTAAGAAAAGGAAAGAAGCAGCAAAGAAAGAAAGACTTGCCCGTGGTCATATAGTGGCCACCCCATGGCTTGATTCCAAACAGGTCTGACTGATCCATTTTCATAGCCTCTGTCTGATTCTACCTCCATGGCAGACACAGACAACAGGACAAAGTAGTAGGAACGCCTGGCAATTCCAGTAAGCTCAGTTTAGGTCTGGTATTGCCTTACTCTTACATTTTTTTTTTTAAAAAAAAAGCTGATGTAAGAGTTTGGTTAATTATACCAACAACATGAAACCAGGATCCTTCCTTACAACCATTGTAAAGTGCAGTGAAGATAAAGCCTAGACCTTTATGTTCTTTGTCATAAACTTGACCAGGTTTGTAGAGCAAAACTTAGAAAAGGTCCTGATCAAATATTGAAATGTTCTTTCAATGCCCTGATCATAAACTTCCTCTTATATTGAACGAAAAGAGAAAGGGGTCTTTAATCTCAGTTTTGTGTGTATTTCAGGTTGGAGTCTCCAACCCGGTCTCTGGTGATGGAAGCCCCAAAAGGAGTAGAAATCAATGCAGAAGCTGGCAACATGGAAGCCACCTGCAGAACAGAGCTGAGACTGGAATCCAAAGATGGAGAGGTGAGAGGTGGGAAAGACAGAGACATCCACAAGGTTCTGACTGCAACAAACCAGCCTTTCCCATAGCTGGTTTGCCATGGAGGTTGACCTTATGCATATGAACAAAAGGAACCAAGCAGAAGGTTTTGTTTCTGAAACAGATAATTGAACAGAATGATTATAAGTCCAACCCACAATACATAAAAGTTATGATTCATTATTTGTAAAGTGCTGAGATAATGGCATGTATTCCAAGCACAGAATTATAGGACCATAAAAATGAACACTATTTCAAATTCTCTCTCTTGTCACCTTAATATAAGATTTAGTTAGCCAATGTAATTAAGCTGTATATTACACACATCTGGCTAAAAATGAGCTTAATTTACTTGTTGTTATTTTATGTTGTATGTTTCTCTTTTCATTGAGAATGAAGAGTCAGATCAGCTATCCCAAACTAGAACAAGCCAAGACTTTATAGGATAAGACTAGGCTACAAGAGAACAAGGAATGGCAAATTTTCATTCTCTTAACCCAACGTACTCCCAGTTGGATGAACAGAAATGCCACTTGAGTTTTTACAAGCAGGACAATCTAAATACCCCCCAAAATATGCTTTGACTGCAACCTTAGTGTTCATAAATGAACGTTGCTATTTAAGAATAAAAATAAAGGAAAAAACCTGTTTTTTTTTTAAAGCAAAGCTCTATTGCACCTTACTATTCAATGAGAGAGGTTATCGGTCTCTACCAGCTTCTGTGACATTAGCTATTTTGTTTTAAGAGATAGTCAAAGAATTCAATTATCACAACTGCCTCTTCAAACAGCCACAAACTGCAAACCACACACACATAAAAATCGTGGCTAACTCACATATGCAGTTTATAGCTATCAGAATTTGAACTCTGGAGGAATCAGTTATAATCATAAATCTAATGGCACCTTCCACCACTGCTTATTTTTATGGGCATGTTTTTCCCAAAGTATATTCTATATCAGCCTCATAAATTGTTAGAAAAAGAAAAAAAGTATCACTAGTCATTTAAAACTTGGAAAATATTGCATAATCTACTCTCTTCTTGGAGATTCACCTTGCACACAAAAAATGTGTAGAATCTGAGAAGTCTCATAGTAAAGAAAATTGTTAAATGTAGCATTTCCACATTTATTTGACCCTGGGATGCTATTCACATTCTACATGACCTCCTTTTACAAAATTCTAGAATAGGCCAATGCAGCATTATCTTGCTAGAATATAAGTTTCTGTGAAGGGAGAGACCTTATCTCTCTCATTTCTCTCCAAATCCCCAGTACCAAAAATAATAAACACATGGTAGGTGCCCATTAGATTTAAGTTGAATTGAACATTCATTTGCTGTTTCTGAGTGTCATGAGAAGAGATGACAGCCTCTGACTTACTCTTTCCTTCCTATTCGCTCTCTTTAGATTAGGTTAGATGCTGCGAAAATCAGACTCCCTAGACTGCCTCACGGATCCTACACACCTACGGGAACGAGGCAGAAGGTCTTCGAGATCTGCGTCTGCGCCAATGGGAGATTATTCCTGTCTCAGGCAGGAACTGGGTCCACTTGTCAGATAAACACAAGTGTCTGCCTTTGAAAGACTATCCATAGTGGACATTGCCGGCAGCATAATGGCCTTTTTTGGCTTTAGACACTGGCTGTCAGCTATTTTTACTAGAACACAGAAAGCCTATCAAAGACCTTTTGTGTGTGCGCGCGTGTGTATGTGTGTATGCTTGAGTGTGTTTGTGTGAGTGGTTGGATATAAATATATATAAATAAATATAAATAAATATATATATCCTCTGTATAAAATGAGGTTTCAGTACAAAAGGAACCATGGGTGACCCTGTGATATCCACTGTCATTTTTCCATCCCATCCCCCCCACCTACATGACAAAAATCTAAACGAATTCAGGCCTAACATTCCCCAGACCATTCAGAATCACACAGTGTATTGGACACTGAAAAATATTCACCTACACAGTTGAGTAACTGCGTATCTTCTCCTTTAGTGTCATTAGGAGGGAGTGATGGCGGGAATCTCCAAGTCACACTCAAGCTCTGAGGCCCTTCTATTAAAAATAGACACTAGGTTTCCTTTTTTAGCTTTAGCAAGACTGGCCAATTTCTCCCTCTTCAAGTTAGAGATGGGGCAAGTTAGAGAAGTCAGCTGTAGAAACCCAAAATGGCTGCCCTACCTTGGCAACCGAATGTATTGGGGCTTTTGTAGTTGGGTGAATGAGGAGGATAGATTTTAGCAAATCTTGAACTGTTCACCCAACTTCTGCTATCTTGCTTTCTTCAAACTCACATATTCTCTCACAATCATATTAGAAGCTGTAAATCAGCACAAAATAACAGCTGTTCCTCAGTCAGCTGAAATCTACTCAATGTCCTGACAGGCAAAGAATAAATGGATGCTATGTCTTTGTTTAAAGGGAAAAAATGGCTCAAATCTGTTATATTTTCACTTCTGACTTAATCTAACAGATGCCAATCCCAAATGATCAGGTCAATCAAAATGCCTAAGAGCAGAACTCCTAAGAGAAGCCATTTCGAGATGCATGTCTAATATACAGGGAACCTAAGTATTTTGTATATGTTTCTTGGAGGTAGGTAAGATAGAGACATGCCCTTTTATTCTTATAGGCTTGCACAGATTCGCTGGCTTTGATCTTCTTATATATTGTTTTCAGTGCTGGGATATTCATATTCCTAAATTCACTGTTATAGACCTCCAAGAATCACAGGTCTAAAGCACTACATGCCACCAGAATTGCTCACTGAAAGTTAATATAAACTGAATCAAGTGTCTTTATCACTGTGTCCCCTGGGACCCAGCAGCACCCTAATTCCCGCCATCAGCTACCTCTCATCACCCCACTTTCATCATCATGCTCCAGGGTCACCCTGGCCAGCTCTTGTGCTGGGACAGGGGATTATACCATCTCTGTTCAAAGAGGGGGAAACGTGCCTATGCCTTAAGTCAATGCACTCAGCAAGGAGAAGCACATCTTATTTATCTTGTTACCTATAGTTTATTTGGAGAGGAATGGTTTAGTCATGACTGGGCATCTTAAAAGCTGAAAGACAACAAATGGTTGACATATGTGGACTCTAAATATTCCAGAATGGAGATGTCACTGACTTAGATGGTTCTGGATGCCATTTGGAAAGTAGCGGCCCCGCATTCCTAAATGAAGTAGTATTTGTACACCTGGGTGGCATTTGGTTTTTTTCCTTTATGAGATTCTAATTTTTCTTACTTCACAAGCAGGGAAAGGTCTGTCATAGGAGATGAATAAGAGATTTGATATTTTTTGAGATAACACTCAACCATCAGACTGAGGTTTGCACACATGGGATATAAGAACAAGGTGTCGCTTAGAAGGAGGTGAGAGGAAAAGTTGTCCTAGACCAGTCAGTGATGCTGCTGGCATCCAGACCCCAATTACTCTCACTTAATATCCCATGCAGAAGAATTGGGCTGGTCAATCTTAGGGTGAGACCCTACGATTGGTTGGTTTTGCAGCACTAGGGTCTAAAAAGGAAAACCATGAAAGACATCAGATTACTCTGGATTTGTACTATTGATATCCTATAGGGCCTTGCTGCCAGAATCTGTATGTATCACGTACAGGGTTTTTTCAAGCCAGGGAAAACCCTCCTTGGCTGCAGGAGGACCTATCCCATATCTTTCAGATAAACAATACTAGCTATGAGGTCCTTTGTGGCTAAATACCTTAAGACAAGGTTTTCTTTTTAAGGTAGACTATCTTTGCATTTTGCCATGTCAAGTATATAATCTATGGATGACAAGAAAGCAAAAATTTCCCAGAACATCTTTCCTTAGATTTTGTTCCAATATTTACATGAAAGACTAGGATCAGCACCTTGGAAAGTTTATGCCAATGGAAAAAAAAAGCTGGTGTCATCCCACATGCAAAACTTAATCCTAAGAGTAATAAGTTCACAATTGGAATAAAAATAATAATAGCAACTGAAAATATAAACCACCTATTGGAAACAGACATGATATAAAATTCTGGTTTTCATTTATGCTAAGTGACCACAATATACAAGGTAATCAGCAGGAAATGTTATATGACTTAAATTATGTATTTCAGTTCAGACTTTAGAAATCAGTGAAATGCATTCTAAGTTTCTCAGTGTACATCTTTTTTCTCCCAATACCCTCCACTAGAATATTTGTCCATGGTTATAAGAGAAAGTTTTACCTGAATTCTGGAAAAAAAATAGCTTTTACATTAAAATCTACTAACCCCTACTTTTTAAAAAATGAGATTCTTTCTAATCTTTATATATAATATTTTCTAGACAATCACACCTTTGGGTATATTAAGCAGCTGGTGTTATAACAAAGAGTTCAAGTGAATCTTCAATATACTATAAGTTCCAGTGTGTTAATAGTCTTCAGAAGATTTTTATAAATTAAAAATTGATCTCCAAATATGTTCAGCACTTAGTTTTATTTGATATCTACTCAAGAAGTCATAAAAGTTCAGTCTTTGAAAACGACTAGAGTATGACAAAGGTTTTCAAAAACCCTTATGGTGGCATCCATCTACCTAGGTAGAAACCTGACATGTGGCTTTATAATTGTTATGTTACCCAAGGGATAGATCTTATAAACTTGAAACGGCTTTTAAATTCCTTTAGATCATTTTCCCTTTGGATCGCTTTCATCGTCTATCCAGCAACCATAGACCAAAGATTGCTTGAAGTTTGACCCTAGAGCAGGTGTCAGCAAACTATGACATCCTTGGAAACCAAATCTGACTCACTACCACCTGTTTTTGTAAATAAAGTTTTATTGTAACACAACCACATACATTCGTTTACATGTTGATTATGACTGATTTCATGCTACAACAGCAGAGACTGCATGGCCCCAAAAGCATAAAATAGTTACTATTAACCCTTTAAGAGAAAGAGTTTGCTGACCCCTGACCTAGAGGTCATTTGTGGTATGTGTTGGATATAGCAAGACAGAAAGCAAATTTCCTGATAGCAGGAAGTAAGCCTGCATTTCTGTGTGACCTTGGGAATATTTCTTGGTAAAGTATTTTCAGAAGGAAGTCCTTCCTTACACTACATGTAGAAAGCCTGCCTCACACTACATGTGGACGTGATCCACCTGCCACAGAAATACAGGCTCAGAGGACTCTTGGGAACAGGAAGGATAGAATTAGGGTAAGCTTAGTGGAAAAGAAAGCTATGATACTCTGCTTTTCCGAGGACTCTTCATAGACAGATGTTTCCTCTGGCCAGTATCATGTATAACAAGAAGTGAACTGGGGAATCTATGATTTCAACTTAGACTGTCTTTCCTAAGAGACTAATTTTGCTATCTATACTACTAGAGGTTTCCACCTTGCCTTCTTTATTCCAGAAGGATGCCCACTCCATGGTCCTCCAGAGAACTTTTTTGACTTACATGTCTGTGGCTCCCATCACCTCGGTTATTCATACCTCCACTGTACTCACTGTTCCTGTACCACACCAGGCCTAAAGGGCTAGTGGGACCAGTGAATAATTGGAAGTATGGAAACATCTGATCCGTAGTCAGATGCATTATCCATTGCACCACTGGCCCCTAGAAGAAGCATCATATAATATGTAGGAATAAAAAATACAGTAAAATTATTTTGATGAAACTGTGGCTAGGAAGAACCAGAATAATGCCAGTCTGGTCTTATTTCCAAGAATGTGGGTCTTTGTTTTCTGGTGATGAGGGAATACAAAAAAGGACATAACTTGAATTCTGATATCTCTGCTTCTGTGTAGTAAGGCAGGTTCCTAACAGAGACCTGTCCCTTCAGTCAATATTCCTTTTGCTAATCCAGGGCCTTATACCCAATATTGTTAAAATAGTATCAGTTACCAGTGACTCTTTGTTAGTATCAGCACTTATTTTAGGGAGGAAGAATGTTTTTAATGTAAATGACCCCCATTTACCAGACTGTAATCAACTTCACTTCAGGAAGTCCTTCAGTCTTTCAACTGGACACAGCTGAAAAAGAATGAAACTGGCATCACTGCCCTTAACAGGAGCACCTAGATAAGGGTATCTTGCTTTGTTTACTTTAGGCCAAAGGTATCATGATGTTTGAACCAAAGAGGTAAATAGATCCATTCTACCTGGTACTTATTTTTCAAGGCTCTATGGAAGGTGAAAATTTCATTTTGGTAAGTTGTAAACAATACCAGTTCTCTCTCTTCTCTCTGCCCCTGGAAATGTTAGGCACAAAAAGGATAAGGAAGCAGTTCCTGGAATGATATATTTGCATGATGCCCCAGTAGCAGGTGGAGAAAAAGTTATAATAAAAGAAACAACCTTAGAAAACAGGCCTTTTATCTTAAAGATAAAATGTCTCTCTGGCGGTCTTTCATCACTATCTCCTTGGTGGAAGATTCCCCTAGTTCCAACATATTTCCATTAAAATAGTCAAAGCTACTGCATTGGGATGTCAGATGCATCTCTTTCTTTGTGGTAATCGGAATTTAAAATTATACAGTTGCTTCTGAATTTCTCATGCACAAAGCCAAACCACTGATAAGAGATAAAGCAGTCTGAAGCCTGCTGCTTTAGCCAGCACAGCACACCACATGCATTAGCACTTTCAAAAGCAGTGTGATTTCTATGGTTCTTAAAAGCTTCCTTCATAATGGAGTCCTTTAAATTTCTCGAGGCAGGTCTGAATGGCAAAGGGAAAATCATTACTTGTGGGAGGTCCTCCTTTTGAGTATTGTTAGAGCACAAGTGTAAAAGGAAATGCCTTTTTA